GCATGTGCGTATAAATGCCATACCATGCATAGGTATATGCGTACATAACATCATCAAGCCCTTGAGGGCATCCCATCATATCATCTCAGCCACTGTGGGCGAAATCATCAACGTATACCAGTTGATCAGATGGTGGTGCATATATAATGCCATAACCTTTTCCCATATCCCATATACATATAATATACACATATATAATGCCATCTGGTCATGGGTCAATGTACATGTATAAATGAATGCAATGCATAATGAAGTAAGTCAGTAAGATTTCTCGGAATGTCATAAGATCAATATGCCTTCGGATAAACTTTAGCAACTTACGTATTTTTCTGATACCCATGAACAGAAGATATAATAATAGGACACATGGGGAATCAAGAACATAGGCACCCCTAGTACTTCTATGAATAGAGTCATTTATGAAAGTTTCGCGTTTGCACATTTCGTTTGTATCATATGGATCATGCCAAAAGGGAAAGAATGGATAGCCTTAACATACCTGTATGATCTCTTCCTAATTACTCAACCAAGCTCAACACAACTTCTTGCATCTACAACAAGTGAAATGATATTATCATTAACATATAATGTCGTACTATCGTATTTGGCTAGTCGTATGATTTAAGAAAAATCAGACAGCAACTTCCCTATTTTTAATACATCTCAAAGACCACTAAGGGTCATCAACAACCTAACAACAACAACTATAACCAACAATAGTAACAACAACAATATAATCCAATATGAGTTTCTCCGATTATCTTAACAATCATATTGAACGGCAAGCTCATTTTTACTCATAACAAGATATAAATTGAATCGAAATCTTATTCCATAAATTAATTTACAACCTTCAAAACATCATACTTATATGTACTATATTATTTCTAGTTCAAAACATTCACAAAATATCTTCCAAAACAGCCTCATACATCTAGCACCTTAATTTTTATCGTCAATCACTTATTTTTCATCTTTTCTTCTTCAATTAACTTAATTAACACCTAGAAAAGCTTAACAACAGCAGCCACAATATTATCAAATTATTTCTCATAATTTTCAGCCACCACAAATCATATATTTAGCCACAAAACAGTCAAACTAAAAAGACAACCATATATCATGTTCTTTCAAGTGCTATTTTATGATTTTTCACTCAAACAACACAACCAACACAAGATTAACCTTAGGCACAATCAAGAAGATGTTATACATACTTTGGACAGCAGCTAAAACTCGAAACCCTATCTCAACTTAGCTCACAATAGCCATCAATCACATCACAACATCATAGAAGCATTCTCTTGTAGTATTTAACTCCTTTGATGATGATTTGAATTGATTTCCCTTGAGTTTGGTTCTTGGGATATGTTAGGAAGGGTTTTGGAGAGCTTTTGGACGAAATTTGGGTGAGAAATGGCCCGAAAGAGGCTGCAACATCTTTTAAAAGACATACGGTCGGTGGTCGTCTTAAGTGGGTCCCAACCGAGCTGCTTGCGCAGTCTCGCAAAAATATGGATGACTCTCTACTCTGATGTCGTATCGATGAACAATTTAATGCGTTGAAAACTAGACTCAAAGACCTTCAATTTTATATATAATATGTCCCGAAAATACATCATAAAGCTTACGAAATATATTGCTCAAAAAGCTTCATTACAAGGCAAATCCTTAGTCGATTTTTCCGCAACTTAAATCCGATTTTTTCCAAATTTTATATTTCATATCCAAACATCATATATAGTCATATTATGACTTTAAACTCATTTAAATCATGATTAACAAGTCTCATATTCATCTTAACTTTACTTAAGATTTCGGTAAATCTTTCTTATCCTTGTAGAAGGAATTTGTCCTTTATGAGCTTACATTAGATAATCCTATAATGACAGTGACGTCTGAAGTACGGGGTGTAACAACATGTCCCCTTAGAAATATTTATCCCCGAATGATAACTCTTAAAGGCTTGCGAAAATGGGACGTAATATCATTAAATCACTTTATATACTTTTAAAGAGGACCTCATTTTCAAGCTTACATCAATTGATTTACGACGTACTTTCACGTACAAAAATATGGGATGTAACAGGACTGTACACGCAAATCGAGAAAGGAAAAACAAAGTTATTTGATGTCTCGGAACTCATAAACAAAGGGTAAAACTATAAATGACCTATCAGGTCATCACATTTTTGAATCCCTTGCATGAATTTTTAGTATTACTATAGTTTATAGCCATGCTAATCAGGAAAGGAAATACTTTATGTTATTCTTTCCACTAATTACAATGTTTTATCACAGTTTAGGTTCTTCAAGTGATTACGTCACGCTATAAAAAAAATTGTTAATTAACCAGCGCACATGTCTGGTGGAGATTTGGTCGAATTAAAGTACCATAGACATAATGAATAGCCATTTATTAGGTTCTTCCACTAATTAAAAAGTGTTATTATATGACTAGCCCGACCAGAAAATTTTCAAGAAATAAACCTAGAAACCTAGCAGAGTCCTCTCCTCACTATTAATCAAACTAGCTTTCATTTGACGATCATTCATTGCTTGGTCTAGTGAATATTCTATCTAGTGTCATTAACTAAGATTGAATACTCTCAACGTTAAGCACATACTACTAGATACATAAAGGAAAGCCAAGCTCCTCTTGGTCGTCGTGTGAGGTTTGAAGAAGTAATTTCGATTATGCTGTCCTTTTTCATTGGTTACTACACATGTATTACTGTCGCTGCTACATAAAATTTTACCTATGTTAACTGCTATGTCCTTGAAAAAATAAGCAATTTCTGTTAATTCCTTTCCTATCCGTAAGACTTGCTGAAAAAGTGCGTCCCACTTTACAACTCCACTTTTAGCTTCATATACCTGTGCCTTATTTGATGTGTCATCACCGGCATAGTACAACTATTCCTTGTGCATGATGTCCACACTCCACGCAGTATGCTCTTAACATTTTGAAATAAAATATACACAACTTTATAAATTGAATAAACAATAATTTATCACAAATTTATAGTTAAAAGTATTTGGAAATAGAAGAAAAAGTAGTTAAGTACGACGCTTTGATTTTGCAAGGAGTTGTAGTGCCAGACAAATTGAGGCAAATAAAGTTAAAAAATTTAGTGTCATTCTTTTTTTCTTTAACAAAAAGGGTTAAGACAATGTTTGTTCGGTTATTGAAGCTTTAGTAGTTCTTAAGAAAGTTGTTGTAATGTAATGTTCCAATTAAACTAAGAAACAATTAATGTAATTTCGTAACAAGCATTTTCGTAAAGGGATTGGGAAATTTTCAGCTTAGACTTACAAAAGTAACTACTTTCATATTGTCAATATATTTTTTTATGTTTAATTTGGATGAACATCTATATAAACAATAATAATTTGTTTTATAAGGAACTTAATTAATTTCTTAGTAAAATAATAAGATTAGTACATTGACCAAATCTGAAAATATTGTAGTTTTAGTTGTCAAATAGCAAAGCTTGCTCGACTTATTAATTAGTAAATACATTAAGTTTTATTAATTTTCATGTGTGTTTACTGTATTGTTCCTTTTAATTTTAGGAGAAAAAAAAGGCAATGTGTATATGAATGATGAAACTTGTACTCTCTTTTGATTTTATGGTGGATTTGATTATTATCTTTGACTATTGCAAACTGTAAAAGTTACTCATATGAGGAATCACGTGGTAATTGTGGAGTTATTGAAGGAAATGATAAAAAAATTCTTAACACAAAAATGTGTGCGGTATGTCATTAGTATCTTTTAAGTCTTCAAATTCAGTAAGGCAATTGTTTGGAGAAATAGATTAATTTTGTAAAGTTTACAAATAGAAAACAAATGTTAACATTAAACTTTTTAAAAAAATTTTGTTGGACTTACAAGACGTTAGTTAAGTTTTTTAACTAATGGACATGATTTACTTTTTAAAAATAGTAGAATACTCCTAAATTAAAATGTGTATAATTTTGAAACCAATTCGGAAATAAATTTGCATAGGTATGATCTATCTTTGCATCTACTTCGTCCTTTGATTTGTCAAATGCATTTCTTAGATGATTATTATTTATATTATGACCGTTTTGTAAGTTGTAGTATAAATATAAGTCCACCACTTCTTGAATTAAAAGATAAAATTAGGATTTTAGGGCAAAAGGAAAGTACTAGGGTTATTTCTTCTTATTTTGTTGGTTTCTCAAGTATAGATATCTGCATTTAGTTCAACTAACTACGCTGATTGACACATCGTTGTTCCAGCAATGTTTTGGAATGTCACACTTTTAACATTTAGACCTTGCGCGGATTTACAGTCATAAAGAAAGCTTCAAATAATAGTCCACTTCACAAAGTGTACATGTATTTTTTTGTGTAGATAAGTGTTACGTGTGTTTGTGTATATGTTTATAAATACACGAGGGTTTGTTATTTAAATTTGAATGTTAGAACATATTTCAGCTAAGAACACATTCTGAGACGATGTTACATATTGCCAGTTTCATCGGAACACCTCAAAATTTACAATGTTACATCTCAAGAACTTAAAACTGCACCTTGACTAGATTAGATCAACAAAAAAATAAATCAATAAAAATAACTGCAAAAATAACTCATGCTAAACAGTAAACAGTTATTGGGCTCGTGCTCAGCACCGGCAACACCTCACTAGTACTACTAGAAATTTGTCCTATTGCAAGAGTTTCCCAGCAACGGTTATACAACCGTTGCAATAGACCTTCTAGCCGTTGCATAAGCCTTTTGGGTCTATAGGGACAATTCTAAAGCGTTGCAGTTTGTAAAATAATCGTTGCAATAGAGTCCCCTATTGCCACGGTTTTGGAAATTGTTGTAGTAGGTGAGTGACTTTGTTGCAACGGTTGTGTTGAAAAAGGGCTATAGGGATGGTTCTTGTTTCCCCTCTTATTTTACCGCTCCTATATTTTCATCACTAAAAAGTAAAATACAGGGCCACAACCTATTTTAAATAGCTTTTTAGATTGTTTTTAAGTCTTACATCACCTAAAAGGCTAAAACCCTTTTCACACAGCCACCATCGACTGCATCGACACTATTCCTCCGGCGAAGGCAATGCGACCTCTGGCGTAGGTTTCCCCTCCGCATCTTCCTCTATTCTCTGTTCTTGCTAGCTTGAGAATTTTGGAGTTTGAACATAAGGTAACTTTTTTCCATAAATTTGTTATTCTTCTATAAAACATTTATGCTTTTGTTTTCCTTTTTCTTTATATTATATCGATACATTTTGTGATTTTGATTTCTAATTTGGAAAAAGGAAGTTTGAGTTGGTATGGTTTCTAGTTTGAGAAAATTAAAGTTGAGTTGGTGGATTTTGATTTATGAGATCTGCCGAAGACAAAACTGGGTTGCTATATTTTTCTTATTTTTTGTCTTTTTATTTAGTCCTATTTCAAGATATGCTAACTGGAGAAATGTACTTCTGCTATTTGTGATTCATTTTTGGTCATTTTGGTGTCCGCTTTTGTTGATTACCGATAGAAGGAAGTGAAAATGAAGGGGGAAAGTGAATATCAGTCAAAAGAAGATAATATTTGGGAACACCCTGGGAAGAGGATATTTTAGCAGCTTCTCTCAAAGAGTTTAATCTTACAACTGAAGGTATGATTCACTATAATTTTTTCAAGGAAAACCTAAAGTGTGTTGATCATTCTATCGTAAGCTGGATATGCCATTTATGGTAGTGGTGGGACATTTTCCTGTTGCTCCTTCGTTAGTTTATCTGTTATACTATTACTTAATGTCATACTTTAATACTTGGATAGTTCTTCTTAATTTTTTAATCTCTTATCCTGGATTGTATGTTATTTAGTATGACAATATTTTGCCTAAGCACACATATATGAAAAGGTGTTTGATGTTGTAGGTTTTAAAAATACTAAAATTTTCACTCAGATGTAGAGAAGTAAGGAAATGGTAATGTGGAATCCTACTTCAAGCAAATCCCTTAATGAACTAGTGTGTTTAGTAAGTCAACTTTATTTTTATTTTTTGAAAAATTGTTACCTTGTTGTGGTTAATGGGATTTGAAAAATCTCGGGTTAGAGACAGATGTAATTTTCTTGTACATTATTATAAATGCTATTTTTATTTTTTTGTATCTACAAAAACCTCTTGCTTGAAAACTGTTGGTAATGGTACTAATTCTCTTCTTCCTTCGACAAGGTAAGAACTTTAATATTTTTTGCTGCCCCTTTGATATGTGATGTAGTGTCCTTTTCAACAGCTTTTTCCAATATATGCAAATTTATATTCATATGATGCGAGTAGTGCAGTAGTGGAATACTGCATTTTCATAGGGCAATCTCTTTGGACTTAGTGGGAAAAAATCTACGGGAAATATTTCTAAGAAGTCACATGTTGAAATCAATTGAAAGAGTTAGACATGGCAAAAGACCATCACTCACAAACGATAATATGACTGGCTTTTATGACCGTTGAACCTTAATATTAATTCTTTACTCATTAATAGTTCGAAGAATTGTCAAAATACAACTACCCTAAGAGCTAGTTGTGGGAAAGTCTTTTTAAGACGTTGGCATAGAATGAACAAAGAGAGCTACCAATTTATGAATAAAGACAGTTCCTTTTTCCTCTGTTGTATAACAACACCTTAAAAGATTTAAATCAAAAATAATAGTTAAACAAGTGAATGCAAAGCCAAGAATCAATTTTTTCCTATCTACAATTTATAGAATTCATTATGTTTTAAGAGCCAGTGAGCTTTATGTAATCTGTGCCATAAATTTTATCTATTATCACTACCTTTATCATCCAAAAATATCAAGTTTTTTTTATGTTCTACTTTTGATGCTTCATAGTTGGTCAGTCTTTCTGGTGTAGTGCCTTTTTTATTTACTAGTGAACTTGGTGCTTCTGGTGTTTCTTAAGTTGGAGATTGAGGTCATTTTGAGAATTATTCTGAAGACTTTTAATCGGTGAGGGGCTTAATAGTTAACTGATAGTACTAATCAAGAAAATTAATTAACTGATAGTAACAATGAAAAAAATTAGTTAACTGAAAGTACTTGAGCTTCTATAGAGTATATAGTGGTTCTATGTCCATCAGAAATGACGATAGAGTGTTTTTAGCTCTCGTCAATATAATAGTTAAAATACAATGCACCTTTTACCCCAATTTCTAATATTTGTTATATCAAATTTTCTTTTTCATTGATCTATCAGAAACTTCGTTTATGTACTGTTATAATATTTTCTTGTAAAGAAACTCAGTATGTCATTATTTTGGATTTTATACTGCTCATTTTAGTTGTTATTTGAGTTTATAATTATACAACATGCATTTGCTCAAGCTTTCTAATATTTATTTTTCATCTTTTGCAGGTAAATCAAATGAATAATGGGAAGACGAAAGAAGTAAAGATAATATTTGGCTGGCCGGTGCTACACTCTTACATGTTCTAGGAATCCACTACAAAAAATTTGGTAAATTGTGACGGTTTATTTATGGGGTCATAAAAAACTTCACTATACGTTTGTTTTATGACGTTTGAGCCAACCCCCACAAAATAGTTCTTATTGTGGCGGTTTAAGTGTGGGAGTCGTAAAAGACCCCTATTGTATATTCAATTCGTGGCGTTTGTTCCCACCTCCTTAAAATTTTTCTTATTATGGCGGTTTCTTTGTGAAGGTTTTTGATAACCTCCACAAATATATCAATTCTAGGTATTTGAGAAATTGTTGTAATTCGATGCAAGTTAACGATTATTAACTCGTTAAAATTTTATTTATTTTTTCCACCTTATTCCTTTAAAATTAAATTAAATTACATATTTTAGTTAAAACTTTGCGAATTAATGCAATTTACGTCAATATCTATACCTTCTAGTTTGTAATCTTTTTCTCCTCACTTTCTTCAACTACAAAATGAAAGGTCTTTCATTATTTCTCTATGTCTTACTCGCTAGTTTTTCTTTGATTGTCTTTGTGCATTTCTTTAATTCATATCTCCATCTTTTTGTTTGAGATAATTTAAATTTTAAAGGGATATAAATAATTGCAATACTTAGCATGCGGATTTTCTTTATTTTCATCATAGCATGTGTTCTATGTTCAAATAGTATTTTTAAAGGCGGGTGTGAGGTAGGCCATTTTACTACGGGACGAGGCGTAAGCCCAATCTATCTTTAAAAATTTTAATTTATAAAAGACGCATAATAAAAAAAGTATATTAAAGTTTAAGAAATTAAAAAAAAAATAAACTCATAAAAAATAAGATATCTTGTATGTTTTTATAAGTATAAATAATACAATAGTGTTAAAGTTACTATGAGATACAACTATAACGTCTTAACTTTCAAAAAATTAAAAAATTATAATTTCCTTAAAAATGTATCAATCTTTACATTTTACCTCCCTAAAAGTAATTAATCAAGAAAGTTCATAAATACTAGTATAATTTAAAAGATTACTCCTTCATGTATATACAAAATTACTTTTAAAGAGTAAAACAATAAAAGCCTGATAATTTAAGACACGGAGACCAATGGCAATAAGATACAATTTTTACTATCTAATTTAGAAAAAATAGTCTAATGATATTCATACTCACAATATTCTCAATTAGTAAATGTGTAATTATGTGGCTCGTTATTTGAGTTATTCTCGAATAAAAGTTTAATCATAACTTTGTTAAAGAATTGAGCATCAATAGTGTTAATTAGATAATTTGACACATGATTTGAGTGGGAACTACTAGACAAGCCCTTACCATTAGGCGTTATGCGTGTTTTGGGCGCATAGTCAGACGCTTTGGGGCGTAAGCTCACATAACTAAGCTCCACACATATACTTCAGGACTTTTTGAATAGTGCTCCGTCCAGGTATGGCTAACCTTGAACGTGCCCCAAAAGAGTCTTTAAACACTATATATATTAAATAAAAAATTTAATAATTAGAACTTTGTTACTTTTATCTAATTTATGAGTTGTAGTAATTCTGAATTTTAGATGAATTTGTAATTGTTTTTGTAAATTTTTCTATATTTTCGTTTGTGGTTGTTTTGGATTTTTGTTTTGTCCTTACTTTCTTATTATTTCTTGTTTGGTAGATAAATGAACTGTGTTTAAGTAAGTTTTACCAAATATATGATATCTATTTTCCAAATGTGCTTCTATTTAAATAATTATAATAATATATCTGTCTATCTATCTATATTATATTAAAGAGTAATTTTCAGAAAAGACTATTGTTCAATGACTATTAACTTCATATAGCTACCATATACATAATTACTTTCCGTAGCTACCTTTCAGTTGTTATGATAATGTATTCGGTGTATTCGAGCTACTATATTCATGAATACAGTAGCAAAAATCGGCTAAACAGTCCAGCTGTCAGCTGTTGTATTCACATGTATTCATACCATGTATTCATGAATACAATGTAATAATAGGTCTCGTCAGTTGTTTAATAATAGAAAACTGCAAATTTAACGGGATACACTCCTAATATAACTTACCTAAATCAATTATAACATACAACATTATCAATCCAATTAATGATAAGATTTATCAGATGCTAAACACCAAAAAATAGAGCATTCTTCAGAGTTTCAGTCCCTCTTTTTTCTGATACAGTTCGAGTTTTTTTTTCCTGACATTGTTCGAGGTTCTGCTCGGAATTGATACAAGTATTTACAGAAATACTTTGAAATTCGATTTTATGTATATAAATACATCATGTATTTATGCCGGATACAACCTTTAATAGTAACCTACTGCCTGTATATTTCATAATAAATCTAGTGCTTGTATCTTGTTGTATCTAATAGTTGTGTTCAATGTATTCAAGTTTATTTTTGTATTCACAATATTTTATTTATTCCTAATACATGGTATTACTGCTTTATTGAGTATATTTCATTGGTTGTATTAATTGATTTTCTATTTGTATTGAGAGTATTTTATTGTATTTCATTGTATTGTTGTTTTAAATACAGATGGATACAGTTAGGTTGAAAATACAGATTAATACAGTTAGATTGAATGCATAACTAATTGATGAATAACATCAAAATAATAGAACTAACAATGTATTTAAATATGTTGTTGTATGAAATCAAATACATCTAAATACAACAGTCAAAAATCACTGTACAAAATAAAAATCTGTGTATGCCTTATCGAATACATATAAATACTTCTAAATGCAAGAAGAGAAACTCACAAACTAAAAATTAATGTATGCGTACCCCAATACATATAAATATATCTACAATTAGGGTCATTGCGTATTTTTGTTCTCCTTTCTGCTTCAATGGTTGTTGATGAACCTGCAAATACAATTCCATTATTATATGTGAATGGTTTAACCCATTTCCCCAAACCTAATCCTAATGTCATTAGTCGCTGCCACCATCTCCTTTGTCCTTTCCTCTTCCATGTCAACATTCAAAATCAATTCAGCTATGAATATACCATGTCCGCTCCACTTTGGGAAAAGATACAACTCATATTAGAAACTTTGTTCAAAACTGAAACTCATGTTAACAGAGATGAAATCCAGCAAATCGAGATCTAGGGTTTGAGAACAATCTAGAGAGAGAACGTGCAAATAAAGGAGAATCGTGGTTCAACAATGGGGAAGACAATGGCGTTGTGAGAGAGAGATCGTATAGAGAGAAATAAGATACGGTGATTTTGGGAGAGAATAAACTAAAAGAATGAGAAAAAAATATTAGACAGCGTATTTAATGGCTTAACGGTAGGAAGGGACCATAAATACATATTTTGTTATAAAAACTAAAAGGTAGCTATAGAAAATAATATTTTAAAAGAGTTTTTATTTATAATAAATAGGGTGTAAAGCTTTGCTATATGAGGTAAAATTTCCTATATTAAAAGCACGAATCCCTTAGCGAAATATCGTTCGTCTTTTTTACCCTTTAAAAATAGATTTCACACTAGACAGAATAATCATTTAATTATTTTCTCAATATTTAGAACTTGTAGGAACCCCTTTTATTTAGGAATTTTAAATCGAATAAGATTTTAGTTTATACAAAATTTCCTTATTTAAATTGTTTATAATATTGAATTCCCATAAAGACTAGAAACTGAGGATTCGGTATTCTATAATAAACTTTAAGTAACGCAGATCTTTTTAGCTAGGGACATAAAAGGCATCTTTGCCATAAGCTTCTTCTTTTTTGCCAAATCTGCTTCTATTTAAATAATTATAATAATGAAAATTAAATAGAGGAAAAACACTTATAGTATTTCCCTCGTTTTTTAACCCAACTACTCAGATAACTTCTCTTTATTCCCGCCATTGTTTCCCTCCATATTTCCACCTTCCCCTCTTCTCCCATTTTCTTCGTTAGAAACTTCCATTTTCAGAGCTATATATTCACCATATAACTCCTCTTGGAGAGATGAAGTTCTTGGTGAGCATTAGGTCAGTTCTCTTTTTTATTTTTATATTTTAATTCTCTTAAGTTTGTTCATTTTAGTTTCATCAATATGATTGCTGGACTCACATTTGTGCTTTATATTCAAGATGTAGAAATGTAGTTTAATTCGCTGCTTAGCTTTACCCAAATCGTGACATTGTGTAGTTCTTTGATTCTCTGTGGTCCTCTTTGCCAATTACTTTGGTTTGACTGTTTATATAGTATATTGTGGTTTGTTTTCTTATTTTATTTTGCAGTTAAAAAAAAACAGATCTTTTGGGGCTCTAGATTGGGTTTGTTGGGTAGTTTGTGGATAATTTTTTGTATCATCATTTGTCTGATGTTTAGTTTGTAGTGATCGATCATTCGTTTTGGTGTACCTTAAGAAGTGTGTTCTGTTTGTTTTGCTTAATCGATAATTCGAGAAGATGTATTCGAAAGTTAAACTGTCTAAGGATAATAATTATTGCTCCTGCAAACCAACTCTACTATTTGGAGGCCGGGATAGTCCGATCACAACTTTAATGTTAAAATGCCTAAAAGAAAAAGAGATTTGTTGGGATATGGAAGAGAGCTGGTTAATTTCAAGTATACATTGATTGTCTAAAGCAATATCTAATTTTATATGGATAGAAAGGTAATAAAGCAAAACCTGGAGATGCAAAGGAAACTACAGTATCAAATTAGGTAATTGGGGGGTTACCGATATAAATGCTTTGTAGTAGTTATGTTACTTCATTGTATTTTTGGCTATTCTTGAGGCTGATTGAATTTGGGAAAGTGAAAATCAAAGTTTTAACAAAAGGGGAAATTTTGAATGGAAGCAATTTTTCTTGATTTATAGCTTGTTTGGATGGTTGTTAGCCATTGTTTCATACCATTTTGTACTGTATTGTATTGTGAAAAAGAAACTAGAGCAGCAAAAATATGTGCAAGCGTGAAATCTGTGAACTACTTGCACCGATGAAATCTAAATATTCGTGAAATACAAGTCAATTCCAACTTCTTTTGGCTTTGTTCGTTCTATCACATACTACTTTAATTTGATTAATGAATGCTTCATCTCAGATCCTCTTCATATTTGATTCACCTGTAGCTCTTTTTCTTATGAATATGCAGCAATGCCAAAGATTAAACGTTTTCGGAATCCACTAAAGTCAGCTCGTGAATCACATGATGCTCATGGACATTCTTCATCATCAACTCCAGTCCAATCACATGCTATAGAGCCCTCAACAACAGTACAAGCCCTCCCACATGCTCATGAAGTCTCGCAACAAGAACAAGCTCCAATTCCACCTTCTAATTCAGGTGCAACATCTGTGCGCTGTCCAAGTCGTGAATCTACAAAATATTGGACAGTAGAGGCAAAAGGTATATGCCTTACATGTATTTTTACTTCAATTTATGAGAATCTTATTTTTTTCCTTTTTGGTTGAGTAACTTGTTTTCTTTTTAAAGACTCAAAAAATGCTACCAAGCATATTAGGGTCAAGGTCAATGAGGTTAACAACCTAACTGTTGGGGAACGCATCATTGTGGATTTTGATGACTACAACGCAACATATGGTGAAGCGCAGGGATTGCTCGTTGGATATTGTGGATAGTTGGCAATTGATTGTAATTTGTTTCCGATTAGTTTTGAGAAGTGGTCAGGGCCATCAGGCATGCCTAAGAAGTACATGGAAGACTGCTATGAAACAATACTGAAGGTACAAGTGTTATTACATACATATGTACTTATTGCACCTAGATTTTCATACACTTGAAAAAACTAACTTCTATTTTTTATTTGAAGCCTCGATTTGATTTTCGTGTAAGTGAGTCCATTGCATACAGATACTGCAATGCTAGTATTTCGAAAAAGTGGGCTACACATAGGCATAAGTTGTGGAATGAATATTTTGACCGAGCCAAAAGCAAAAATGAAATCTAAGTAATGTGCCAGCAGGTATAAATAAAGATCAATAGGCTAGTTTTGTTGCTTACCGTAAAAAATCATCAACAATGGTAAGATTCAGATTATTTTAACAAGTTTCATCATAATTAAATGAAGATGATTTTTTTTAATTTGTATTTGTTTTGTTGATAGGAGCTTTGTAGAAGAAATAAAGAAATTCAAAAGAAACAAAAAATGCCACATACTGGTGGATCAAAAGCTAACTCGAGAAGACGATATGAGCTGGTATGCACATTAACTTAATAATTTTACTATTTCTCTAATTAAAATGTTTTGTAATAACTTTTTTAATACATTCTTTCTTAGTTTTTGGAAACTGAAAAAACTCCTAGTCGCGGAAAAATATTTATTGAAACTCACAAGAGAAGGAATGAATCGTTTGTAAATGATGCGGCAATGACTATAGGGGTAAGTATATGTGATGACCCAAAATGTCATCTTTAAATTTAATAATTAATTTTGTGTTCTAAGACTTCAAAAAGCACTATTTATCATTCTTCGACTTGCGTGCGCAATTCGTAAAATTTTCCAGAAAGTTTTCAGGTGAAAAAAATGGATTAAATGTGAATTAGAGCTTTAAAACTCAACTGATTTGACTTTGGTCAACATTTTGAGCAAACGGATTTGGATTAGTGTTTTGGCGATTCCGGTAGGCCCGTATCGTGATTTGGGACTTAGGCGTACGCCCAGAATCAAATTCTGAGGTCCTTAGCCCGAGATATGGAATTTTGATGAAAATTAAAAGTTTAAGTTTAAATAGTGACCGGATGTCAAATTATGTGCAAACGACCCAGAATAGAATTTTGATGATTCCAACAGCTCCGTATGATAATTTTGGACTTAGGAGCATGATCGGAATTTTATTTGGAAGTCCGTAGTGGAATTAGGTTTGAAATGCCAAAAGTTAAATTTTTGGGAAGTTTGACCGGGAGGTTGACTTTTTGATATCGAGGTCGAAATCCGATTCTGGAAATTGGTATAGGTCTGTTATGTTATTTATGACTTGTGTGCAAAATTTGAAGTCATTCCGAATTGATTTGATGTGTTTCGGCACAAGATATAGAATTTGAAAGTTCAAAGTTCATAGATTTTGATTTGAGGTGCGATTCATTGTTTTGATGTTGTTTGATGTGGTTTGAAGACTCGACTAAGTTCGTATTGTATTTTGGGACATGTTGGAATAATTGGTTAACGTCCCGAGGGTCTCGGGTGAATTTTGGAAGGTAAACGGAATGGATTTCGGACAATGAGGGTTGCTGGAAATTTGCAGAAATTTTGCTAGAAATTTACAGAAATTTCGCGTGGAGCCAATTTTGGAAACTTATATCTCGCAATTCATAAGGAATCAAAAAATTTTCAAAACACGAAAGTTGTAGTCGTTTGATTCTAGTTTCCAGAAAGTTAAACCATTCATTATTTGGACATTTGTACATAAAGTTATGATGGATTCAATGAAGGCTGGTAGAGCAGTTTCGCCAGAAATTCTGATGCGTGGAGCCGACTTTGGAAGTTTAGATCTCACAATTCATAAGGAATCGAAAAATTTGCAAAACATGAAAGTTGTAGTCGTTTGATTCTAGTTTCCATAAAGTTAAATCATTCATCATTTGGACATTTTTACATAAAGTTATGATCGATTGAAGGAATGATGGTAGAGTAGTTTCTGGTGAACTTTTAGTGACGGAAAATGAACTTTTAGTGACGGATGGGCAGAAACTTAAGGACCGAAAATTGTCATTTCCTTCATTTCGTTTTGAATTTTTGGAGCACGGTTCTTGGGCGATTTTTGGGCGATTTTCACGAGAAAATATTGGGGTAAGTGTTTTTTATCCTATATTGTTTATATTTCATGATTCTATACTCATTTACATCATGAATCCGTGAATTTATGGAAGAAAAATCAAGATTTTTGCAAAATCTTCCAAAAACGAAAATTTAAGATTTACAAGTCGAGTTGTTATCGAAATTTGAAAAAATTGGTATGGGTGGACTCGTAATTGAATGGGTTGTCGGATTTTGTAAGTTTCGTCGGATTCCGAGATGTGAGCCTCACATGTAAATTTTGAGCTAATTTCGGATTTTATTGAAAAATATAATATTTTCTTATGAAATTGATTACTATAATTTTTGTTGACTGTATCGAATTAATTATGACTAGATACGAGTCGATCGGAGTCGGAAAATTTAGGAAAAGGCATAATACTTGGTTAAATTGGAGCAAGTCGAGGTAAGTGACTTGTCTAACCTTGTGTGGGGAAAATTCACCTAAGATTGATAATTGTAATGTGTGAAAAGTCATGTACACGAGGTGACGAGTGTGTACACAGGCTAAATATGAAAGATTATGTTTTAAATTGTGTAAATCACTGTTGCGCATTAATTAAATTATTTCATTTTGTTATATTCTTCATTATTGATTTAATGTTTATATTTTTAAATTTGCTTGACCTTTTCCTAATTATTTTATCTGCTTAGTTGGAACTTGATTTCTTTTATTCTGTGCATTATTTGAAAGTTGATTTTCTTTAAATTAAATATTATTAATATGAAGTATTTGACATTTTTAAACTTGATATTGAATCACCGTATTAAAGATTTTGAAATATTATTGTTGAATTATTTTGGCATGAGCTTTTTATTGTGGAAAAATATTGTTGATGATTTATTTTGGCAAGTTAAATTATTTGAGCATTTGAGGTGCAAATTGTGATATATTGTGATATTGATACGCATGCGGTGGTATAAGGTCTGGGTATTGAAACGCATGCGGTGAGATAAGGGTGGCTTGATACGCGTGGCTAGTTAGGGGAACTACTAAAAGTCATGCGGTGTGATAAGGATGGGTAAAACGCGGGATGGTATTTCGGGGAAAATATTTTCTTTCAAATAAATTGTGAAGCCTCTCGCGGTGAGATAAGAAAATGAGATATTGTGAATTTGTTTATGATTTGGGACTACGAGGCGGTACCTCGAGAGTGCCCTTGTTGATATTGATTTATGGCCGCAGTTGTCTTTGATTATTGTGTGATTTTCTTAAAGTTGAAAAGAATTCTGTTTTGTTTCCACGAGGTATTTATTTGTCATTATTCGATGTAATTAAATGTGACATACTACTTGATTCAGTTTCATTGTCATTTTATCTTATAATATTGTTTAAACATTTTACCATGCCATTATTTATTCTCCAGTAGGGCCTGACCTGACCTCGTCACTACTCTACCGAGGTTAGGCTTGACACTTACTGGGTACCGTTGTGGTGTACTCATACTACGCTTCTGCATATCTTTTTGTGCAGATCCAGGTACATCTTATCAGACCACGCATCAGTAAACTAGTTGTACGAGGAGATTTTGAGGTATATCTGTCAACGCCCGCAGACTCCGGAGTCCCCTTCTATTCTTGTTATGTTGCTTCCTTATTTTCTTTAGACTATGTTATATAGAGACATCGAGTATAAATTCTTAGAAGCTTGTGACTTATTTCTACCGGGTTTTGGGAGTTGAAATTGTTTGAATTGTAGTTTAATTATTTCAGATATTTATTATTATTCTGCATTGATAGGCTTATCTAGTCTTAGAAACTAGGTGCCATTACGATATCCTACAGAGGGAATTTGGGTTCGTGACAGTATAGCTTTGGTGCATTTTTATAACATTATTTTCATTATTTTTGTATAACATTTTGCATCTCAAGTCTTACTATCTTTTACTTACAAATCAATATTTTATCTGCTTGTAGGAACAAATTGAATTGAATATGCCTCAATGTGATACTAACGAGTGTGACGTTTCCCCAAACGATGTTATTGGCAAGATGTTAGGGGTAGAGCACTCTGGGAGAATACGATTGTGATGACAGAAAATGTCATCTTTAAATTTAATAAGTAATTCTGTGTTCTAAGACCTCGAAAAATATCATTTTTTATTCTTCGACTTGCGTGCACAGTCCGAAAAAAAATTTCGGAAAGTTTTTATGTGAAAAATGGATTAAAATGTGAATTAGAGTTTTAAAACTCAACCAAGTTGACTTTGGTCAACATTTTGAGCAAACGGACCCGGATCAATGTTTTGAAAATTTCGGTAGGTCCGTATCGTGATTTGGAACTTGGGTGTATGCCCGGAATCAAATTTCGAGGTCCCTAGCCCGAGTTATGGAATTTTGATGAAAAATTAAAAGTTTGAAAGCTTAATGATTTTTAAGAAATTATTGATATTGGATTTATTGACCTCGGGTCCGTATTTTGGTTTCGGAGCCCGGTATAGGTCCACTATAATATTTATGACTTGTCTGCCGAATTTGGTGAGAATCGGAGTTATTTTGACGTGATTCGGACGTCCGGATGTAAAAAATATAAGTTTTAAAGTTTTCTTGAAAATTTCCTTTAATTGGGTGTCTGATTCGTAGTTCTACATGTTATTTTGGCGATTTTATCGCGCGAGCAAGTTCGTATGATGTTTTAGAATTTGTGTACATGTTTGGTTTGGAGCCTCGAAGGCTCAGGTGAGTTTCGGATAGGCTACGGGATTATTTTGGACTTAAGAAATCTGGTTTTCTGTAGACATCAGGCTTCTGGTGTGTTCTTCTTTGCGTTCGCGAAGGTACTCTCGCGAACGCGAAGAGCTAATTAGGGCTGACACGCTTTGTGCTTCGCGTTTGCGACATAGTGATAGCGTTCGCCAAGGCTTGAGGTTCAAAGCTTCGCCTTCGCGATAGAAGCCTCGCGTTTGCGAAGGGAAAGAGACTGGCCAGGAAAAACTAGCCTTCGTGTTCGCGAGGTAGCCCTCGCGTTCGCGAAGAGTAAAATTTGAAAACACATAATTGTGCTTCGCGAACGCGAGGCACTGACCGCGTTCGCGAAGGGTAAAAATCCCAGAAACAGGGAAATGGGGTTTCGACTCATTTTCAACTCTTTCCCATTTTTGAGCTCGGGTAAGGCAATTTTCACAGAAAAATATTGGGGTAAGTATTTCTTATCCTATATTGATTATATTTCATGATTTCATATTCAGTTTTATCATGAATCCGTGAAATTTTGGAAGAAAAATCAGATTTTTATAAAATCTTCCAAAAACGAAAAAATTAAGATTTGAAGGTTCATTTGATATCGGAATTAGACAAATTTTATATGGTTGAACTCGTATCGGAACGGGTGTTCGGATTTCGCGAGTTTTTTCAGGATTTGAGACGTGGGTCCCACTGTCGAATATTTTAATGAATTT